CATATACCAAGCAAAAGTAGCGATTTTATGCACAACCTGCACGGTCTGATGAAGTGCAGATAAAATTAAATTTCGTCAATGGCATGAAGAGAAATTCGTTGATATTTATACATAGATATAGGTCATATTATTTACGAAAATGTTAAATTACGTAAATTAAAAAAAAAAATGAATAGATTTTGTTTAATCGCTTTTATTTTACTGCAATTTCTTATGTAGGTATATTGTAATTATATTATCAGTGCATTAAACTATTCTTTTTTTGATAAATGTATTTTCTAATTTTTCGGGGCATTTAAATCCGCACCCTATACAGTTATCACTTGTCGAGTAATATTGTAGGAACGCACAAAAAATTGCAGAAGTCGGCCGACCGGCGTATAACGCATTACGATGATGTACAAATAAAACTGCACAGACTGAAACAAAACGGCGGTGCGGAGCTTTTATCTTTCGTCCAGCCTGTTTGAAAGCGAACAAGAACCGTCGCCGCAGACATTGCCCTTTGTCCCGACGAATAATAATAATAATAATAATAATATCGCGTCTTTGAGCTTCGTTGTCGTATGTGCACGACTCCATCTATATCTATTATGCGACACTCGTTGATTGATCATAAATAATATTATAATAACAATAATAATTGTAATGCACCTCTCGGAATATATTATAACTACCGCTCTAATATTCTCTTATATCGAATCGATTGCGTAGTCGCGTTAAAATAATGTATACTTTTATTGTGTATACGCCAAATACGTTTTTTAAGTGCCTACGCCATACTGCACCGCAGTAGCGTTCCTAACCTACATCGTATACGTACATAAGTATCGGAAAACGACAGAGATTGATTTGGTCGGTCACCGTCTGCAGATTCGAAATTACCATCGCCGTTGCATCTATTTTCTAAACAGACGGCGCTGCTCGGTACTTGAGCGTAATTTATGCAATTATACTGCGCACGTATAATTATTATCCTTTGAACGAGCAGAAAGGATAATATAGTATCATCCGTTCCGTTCAAAACGCGCAGGGTCCGGATAACTTATTATATACCTAATAATATCGTAGTGATATTTTAAAAATCGAATGCACTAAAATGCACTAATGTATAGTATTTTGTGCGCTAACAATAATAATTATTGCGTTTGAACGCGAAATTAATAATAATAATATGTCGATGATGATGACAAATCGGCAGCGAGTGATACACGCCGAACCAGCTGCAGCAGTAGTATAATAATGGATAAGGTTTTTGTATAATATTAAAATTGTTATAATCGTCGCGATTACACGTTGTGGCAATAATAATAATAATAATAATAATAATAATAATGATAACTATAATAATAATACCCAACCCGAAGAGAACAATAATAATAATAATTATTATGCTTTTCGAGTCGTTACAAGACCGTTATACTAAGTACACATGGAATTTGAATAAAATCGCGATAAATGTATAAACGGACTAATATTATAATAATGCGAAAAAATAATTAAAAGGTATAGAAACCAGATTTTTTTTTAGAATTCAAATTTGCATTTAAAACAATATTTTATTACTCCACTGCACAGTGCACATTGAAGCGGCGTCAGTAGTCTAGCTATAGTATACTATAGTACTATACTATACTATTATACCATCACATTATTTATTTAGTTTTATAGAAGCTTTCCTACGCACGCTTTATCGCATATCTCTATTGTTCCGATTCCGTTTGAACGTTAACAATATTATAATATTTTTTATTTACTCATAGTCAAATGACTCCTGCAGACGTACAGCAGGCGTACAAAAGTATCTATATACGTAAGACTCAGGATATATACCTGCACAAAGCTGCCAAGTCGTGGCGTAGCCGCCTAGGTATACATCGTGTTAAAATATATGTTTATAAACACCCGTGTATAATGTTATAATATACAGAGTAACTCGGTGATCTATAGCAAGCATGCTTTCATCCTCATATTTTTGTGGCACCATATTTTCAAACATTAAGATTTTCAAACAATTGTTCAAGAAAATTCCGGTGTAACTCAATATATTTTAAATGAGAACTAAACTTTTTAACAATGATGTATTTACGTAAAGATTCGAATCTCTAAACAAATTATAGTATATTGTATAGGTACCAACAACTCTTAGTAGGTACCTACACAAATTTCAATAGTTCAAAAACTAGACGTTAGAAATTAGTGGCTTGGATACACTTTTTTTTAAATCGTCTGCTAAATAACTTATTACGAGAAAAGGGGTGATATGGTTCGGAAAAATTAATTTGTATCATCGCCTCACAACTCACACCTGCTGCGCAGCTGCAAAATCATTAAATGATAAATAATTTCTAAAAAATTTAAAATTTGAAATTACAAATAATTAACTATTATTAAAGGACAAAGTGGGTGATAGCATTGTTGGTGAATCACTCTGTATATTATGAACGATAGTGTATCAGCAAGGACGACGCGTAGAACACTGTAGTGTTGTCGTGTACGTATTTAACGTGCAATATCTTTAAAAAAACGGTGTGGAAACGGTTGTTACAATAATGATATTGTAGTGATATAATTTTTGTTGTGTAAGCCGCACACGGTCTTCCGGTAATAGATTCTAGTGTAACTATACAGTTGTGACAAGAGCAAATTATTTATGCATTGTGTGCGATTGTTGATATAAATTAAACGGCCACTGAATGACAACCGCCATAAATATTATGCGCCGAAACGACTTTGTGAGTGTGCGCGTGGGCAGTACTTCGGTACTGAATAATTATAACAACGTCGTTACCGATACGATTTATTTTCGTACGCRCGAGACAGAAACGAAAACCCGAATACGTATATTATAGCAGATAGAACAAACCTAAATTAAATTTCCAAAAAAAAAAAAAACATGCAAACAGCATTTATTTCGATTACCTTTTTATGGGCGCGGGTCGTAATTAAACTATGCCAGTGGACGGTGATGGTGAGAGGAATTCACGGATGAGGATCGATTTGCTACAGCGGTGCAGGTTTAATTCTGTAATTTGTTAAAGAATGAACAGAAAAATAGGGTTGCTTAAGTTCAAAGGATTAAACAYCACCACGCTTGTGTCTACTTTAAAAAAACACCCCCGTATAATAGCTCTCACTGAAATAATTGAAACTTTATGGGCGAGCTGCATGTATATAATACAATGTATAATAATTGGACCTGCTTCAAATATAGGTGGGAGTGTTAGAATAGAATTAATATTATATAATAGCCTTTAGTCGAAGGGGGGGGGGGCTTAAAGTCAAAATGATTTTGATAGCATATACAATTATTTAGAGCAGACCATGATAGTAACTGTTGTCGATTAAATTAAATATTTTCATTTTCATTGACGATGTCATGCTCATATATTATTATACTTGTGAAATTATATTATTACATATACCTTCATTCCATGAAAATTTACCGTAAAATTTGAAACCAATCAAATGCCGAAAAMGGGATAAGTGCCACACACATACCACTCTTAAAGCTTTAATAGATAAGTTGTATAAGACTTTAAAATGTATCTCGTACGTATATGMTGTACCTATTTCTGGATTAATTTTTCGAGCAACTTTTTTTTATCTATGGACTGTTATGACTAATGGAGAACGGATTTAAGTGCTTTAAAAAACAAGAAAATGTTTTTAAAACACGTATTAATGCTCTTATAACACATTTTTTACTAAAAAGCTCTTAAAAATTATTTTTAACATTGAAAAAATTTCTTTTGTTATTAGAAAAATTCTTATTCTTATTAATTATTCGTATTTTCCTATTCTCTTTTTACACTGGAATTATATCGGTAAAACCATAATAAATAATAAAAATAAAAGTACGATGTGGCAAAAATAAATAATATCTTATTTTATTCTTTTAGAATGAATTTAAACTTATTTTTTTATCAAATTATATTAATTCTTATAAAAAAGGTGCTCTTAACATGTCAACAAATTTAAAAAAATGCGAATTATTGGTTTTATTTTTCAATTTYTTGTATGGAATAAATCTTGTGCTTGGGAAGCAATTTTTTCGAACAAAAATGCAATTTGCATTAAAATCCATTCCCTAGTTATAMTATTGTTATGAGATYACTTAGTAAGACATCAAAATTAAAATATACTCAATAAATAAATACACCTCCTTTTCTTAAGAATCGTTTATCGTATACTGGGGTTTTCCAATTATTTGTTTTCAAAACACTTCTCATCGAAAGATATAATATTATTATAACTTTATCGCTTGAAGGCCACGAGACGTAGGTAATTTTACATTTGCAAATTGGTTTAAATAATTCATTATAAATCGTTCTAGTGTGGGCTGCATTAGTAATTTATCATAATCTAACTAAACTAACCTATACGGTGATTTACATTGTCGGGTTTATTCGAGGATCTCTTTCGGTGATATTTTCGACTTTTCTTATAAAACGAATAAACGAATGAAACTCCTAGTTTYTCCGATCGCTATAGATTTTCTCTGTGTACGAGAATTTTTCCATGACGWCGTTACCCGCGACGCGTTATTATTACATAAAATATGTGTAGAACAATAAATTACTTCATATAATATTATTATAATACATTATTTACATGTCTAAAACGTTTCAAATAAAACGGACAGGTCGTACCACCGTGGGGGCGTGTGTTAAATAAAAGACTCGTAAACCATAATGATTATAGTGTTTGAGAGAACACATTATAATTTTTAATATTATATAATATATTAATATTACAACAATAATGCTGCGGCAGCGTTCGCTACTCGTGTGGCGTAGCAAAGTGATGCATATTATAGTCGTCGGGTATATACAACACATTTATGAATATCACACAGGTATACGCACTACTGCATGGAGAATCGTATGAAAAATAAATTTCTCTCCCATCTTAAGTTACGCGTACCTACTTGGATAACATTTTCGTTTCAATGCTTCGTACCCAACCCCCGCGGAGGAAATATATTAAACAGCACTCACCAGAACTGGGTGAAGATCGACACCGTACATGTCCAGCCACTTGACTTTATCCAAGAAATTCAGCTCGGCAACTGCAGGCACTTGACCCCTGAAAAATGGTTGTCGTTAAGTAATCATAAAAAAAAAAAGAAAATAGAAAAAAAAGAACGCAATAGGTAAGCACCGTGCATGGAAAGAGCGAGGAAACGTTTATTATTATGGCACGCAGCACTTACGTAAGTTCTTTGTGTATTTCACCGATTCGGTTCTCGAGCTCTGCGTTCTGATTGGACACGAACCGGAATTCAGACACGTACCCATGAGTGTGTCGCCTAGGATCGAAATCTCCAAGTTCAGCTGTAAAAAAAATATCATCATTATTAAAATACCATGACACTTTGCCATCAAGAGAAAATGCCAAGGAGTTTAATTTCGTGACATAAGACTTTTAAAATAAAATATTATATACAATTTGTAACACATATTATATGTACAAATCGAAACCACTTATTCCTGTTCTTAAACGACAGTCATCAGCGTTGAGGAAATATAATTTTAAATTTGTGTAACTAAATACAGTTTCTTCATATTCGTATATATTTAAAAAAAATTATTTTGAAGAATTATTATTTTATTTATGGATATTTATGGATTTATGGATTATTTATTTCCGAATCGAAATAGGTATTCCTATACAGTGAAACATCATTAGGTACAACTGTAGTTTGTGACAAGGCCCGAAGATACACACGTCAATGATTTTGGCAGTATTATATTGTGGGCACCCAAAGACATATTTAGTAATAATACATAATACGTTATTATTGTACACATCATCATCACCACATTATCAAAACAATAAAATTACATATTTGTGTATATTGTATACGTACCTATCTGTATTTTTCAGTACATCATATTATATTGTTCCCATAATTTTATTTATAATCGCAGTCGTAATAAAAACGCGTACGAGACACGCGATAAAACCGTCTACGATGAAATTTATAGACGACGGGTCTCTGGTCCGCAGTCTTTTAGTCGGTTTTCGGCGACATCATTTTATAATAATAATAATAATAATATGGCGTTCGGTCTGTTTGAACGTATATTAAAATAGCGTGCTTCAGACGGGGTGAGAGAGAGCCGATGTGGAGACAAAAAAATAAACCACCACCGACCTTACGAACATTAAAGATGACAAGCTGAAAGCTAGGATGAGAGTGATAAATTTCACTCTACGACTATGGTCTGCATAAGTAAATTATTCCCGGGTTTTATAAATTCTTAAAAAAAAAAAACAAATCTCACAAACGTACGAAAAATCATTCAGGATATTAAGTTTTTCACGTTATTTTAGTGCGAGTAAAGTGAATATTTTCAAAGTTTTAAGACGATTATAATTTCTCTACAACTCTATAGAAGTCGGTGAAGCCAAATATTTATCGACGCGTGCACTCAAAGTGGAAACGTTATCGTGTTTTACCTCTTTTTGGGTAGGCACTTTCAAGTAGGTCTGACTTACAGCCCGCAATAAGTATTAAAAAGTTTATAATCTCTGTTGTTGCACTGACCTAAAATTATTCCTAAATAATGCAGATGCCGTAAATAATTATATTCGAAATTACAAGCAACAGAACAATATGTGACTTTGTAGCAGTCAAATCGATACGTATACAGATCGGTTACACACACTCTCCCTGACACACACACATATTTTTATTAGTATTGATATAAATAGATGATTTTTACATCGTTATCAAAGATCGAACGTTTTGCGTGTCCAAAGCGTACACTGAGACATATATAATAATATTATATATAGATATCGTTAAATACGCACCGAATAACGTATATTTAGCAATGCCTTACAGGAGTAGACCAACGATTTTTATTAAATTTTTTTCGTCCCATAACAAAGTGAAGTGCAACGAAAAGTCGACCACTGCTGGGTGCAAAAGTCGTCGTCGGTCCCCCGCCTGGGTAATATATTAGCACGTCCGCTCTTCCCGCTAATAATAAGCACCTCTATTTACACAATATTTATGGCCGAAATCGGGCGGTCTCGGGTCGATCTTTATTGCTTGCCATTTACATCGCGGACGTGGAGGTGGCAACGAGAAAAATCCACCAAACAGAATAAACAACCCCCTTAACAAAATCAAATATTTTATCTCGGCCACTATAGACGCGTACATTATGTATATATGCTATACCATTACTTCTGCTACGTAGTCTACTTAGTATATTATACAACTATAGTACATTGTATATATATATATTATATAAATACGCTATGTGATTTTTTTTCTCTTAACGCGAGTCACTTGTTTTTTCCAGGTATTAGGTTCAAAATGTTTTCGTTGCTAACGAAGTACCACTAGTGAAGTATAGGTACATTATTATACGGCGGCGTTTATGGTCGTTTTTGGGGCTCGGAGACCACAACACAATGACATGTACCCACACCGTATTTTTAGTAGTGCACATTCTAAGACATTAATATTTATTTATTTTTATTACCTATCGTACATTTGAAAATTGAAGGTAAGTATAAGACTTAATATACCCGTAAATAGTTTAATACGAATAATTTATCCATTTTTTTTTTTTTTTTAATTATATTTATAGGTAATATAGGTTTACCATTATTTACAGAAAATATAATAATTACTATGACTATAGGTATAATTTTAGAACTTTATTATATGTTTGGTCAACACCACCAAAATTATTGTGTTTTAAATCTTTGTATATAGTTTACATAGGTATGATGGAGTTCAATACGGGACAAATCCTACACGGACATTACCTATTTAATTTATCACGGTAACGCCGCGGTGCGGGATCAGGTGGTAATATACATTTAACTAGGTGCATTATTTAATTACTTCCGGTTTTTTCACTTAAAATTATACGGTTTCCGTCAAAAATAAAACACTATCCGCAAAAAACGACACACGAAACAAATTTTTTGTGCGCGCTTAAAATCACCATGCGTAGGTACTATGTGATAATAATATATTATTATTATCGCATTGATTTTAATTATTAATATGATAATATTACCTACATGTATATAGATGCGTAGGGTGCAGTAGCGGGTGGAGTAGTTTATGGCCGGTGGGCTGATGGTTCGGTCGAGGGTCTTTTTTCATACTGATTACTACCGTCGAGTATGCACATACGGTTATGAAATTTGCCGGAAATCCGTGCGATTGGAACCGCTCATTTTGCGCCGTGACGGATTCGCGCACGCGCGGAAGGACCCACGATCGGAGTTATCGCGATGTTACATTTTTTATTTCAAAACTGTTTTTTTACACGTCGTCCGACTAACGCCATTGCCAGTTTTCGACCATCAGAATTGATATTTATTACCACACCAACGCGCGCGCGCTCGCGCGTATGTGTGTATAATTTTACCTACCGTTCATACATATATCTATATGCATGTTCGTCGTGCGTCCATTGAGATTAATTTACCCCCACGGGCGCCGGAAGAGTCCCATTATAACTTCATAATAATATAATATAGCTACCGGATTTACGCGCTTGCTCTCCGTGGGGATAAATTTACGAGCGGATAGTGAAAAACGAAATACGAAAGCAGCGAAAAACAAAACAGAACGACGAAAAAGTCCAGAAACCCGTTGCGCGAAGAAAACCAAGCAATTTTTGTTTCCATTTTAAGCGTTTCACTCACGACCGGAACTATTATGTGCTGCAGAATTCCTAGCCGAGCGTCCGTTGTCGGCCGTTTTGACAGGTTTTTGTGAATTTTCGACTAAACGACTTACCCGCCAAGCCGAGAGAATACGACTCAAAACTTCCTACACTGTGAGTCTTGGAATTTGGATTCGAACCCAATTCTCCTCGCCTTTAAATATTTAAATGTGTTTTATGTTTGGATCGGAAAAACAACTTTAATCACGTACGTTACTCTCGATCAACACGACATGGAATATTCCATTTTCCTGGTAAACCGATGCTGTACAAATTCGGTGAACTGTCGTACAACTTTTCATGAGAAATGCATGTTAAATATTTGTGATATTTGAAATCGATGCAGGATTAGAGTAATGTGTTAACTAATTTTCATTTTTCTATTTGCAATGACTAATGAGAATGATCTTTATTTTTTATTTTCTGGTGAATTTAATTACAGGTTTTTAATAGAACACGATGCCATGTTAAAAATGTATTTTGAAATAGCTATTTTGGTGTAGCAAAAACATCAAATTATTGAAATTTTTTTAGATCCATTTATTATGGCCCCGTAAACACGAGTAAATTATATGTTACACAATGTTCAAACGGTTTGAATGATAATTAATTATTCCTTTAAATTGGTCATTGTAGTGCAGTTAATTCTTTGAAAAATAACTCACTATAATATAGCGTATATAAACTAATTAAAAACTATTTATATAGGCGAACGGATGACTTGCTAAAATTTAATAGCTATGATAATTATCCCAACGAATACACACCATTATTTCTTTGTAAATAAACTCGAAAATTTCAAAATATATCCAAGAAAATCAAATTAACGCGAACCCGTTACGTCCGTGCGTCGCATCGCGTGTTTTCGTATAGGCACCATTTGTATATTATTATAATATTCTGTACAATATAACTACTATATATATCTCAAGTCTTGGAGTGTTTTGGCTTTAGGTTCTCCCCATCACTAAAATTGGACCGCAAATATTATATTAACAACAACGCGCTTAAGCCGCCAGCTCTGGGGCCAACTCGCTTTGAACTACGTTTTCTATTATATAACAATATAATCGCGTAATTATTAAACTTTTAATGGAATAATTTATTCAGACCCGGCTGTGCTCTCCAGGAACAACGCAGTAAACACACATTGTGTTTTGTTCTTCTCCGCCGTTTATGGCCAAAACTTGGACAGTTGCACACTCTAAATTATTAGAATACGTATAGTGCGATAAGCATATTATTTTTGTTTTATACATGTACATGTTAAGCGTAAAGGTATTTCAATATAAGTTTAAAAGAATGGTTATTTGCCAAAAATATTCAAACGACCGTATTTTCCGTCCTGGAAAATCCTTGCACAAAGACGAGTAAGTATTTTATTATCAAGAGGTTAAAAATATTATATTATAGGTGGAGATATTTTTCAATAATTGTATAATATTTTACACTAATTCTATATTAGTCATTCAAGTATTTCAGCATTTTCGAAATTTCAAAAGTATTTTTAACAAGCGGGTATGGTGTCTTAATAATTTCAATAAAATAACATCTAATAACTTCGCGATGTACGTTCGTTGAGACACGGGAATAATACAGCAGACTGGCGCGTTAATGAATAATATTATCCA